GATCCAGACCGAGTTTAGACAATTATTGTTACAATAATTATCATAAGACTACCTAATTACCTTTCAATAGTTAAAGTCATTTGTGACAATAAGCTTAGCATCTGCAGCCTCCACTGCTTCTTAAGTTCTGATTCATGTGCAGCAGGATTAGCACCGGAGAACACACCACCGGAAGCCATTATTCCTAGTGCTACAATGCCATATTCAGCAACATTTGGGAGAGCTACAATCACCATGTCCTTTTCTCAGGCCAAGAGACCTAAAGGCCCTAGCAAACCTCCTAATGTCTCTAACAACCTCTGCATATGTATGTCTTTCCTGTCACAGCCTCCACAAATGCTTCCTTGTCAGCATACAATTCAGCATCTTGGAGTACAAATCAGGGAGTGTGATGTCCGGCACCGGGACTGCTGGATGCTGGCTTCGGAAAATATGTTCCTCTTCTGCTGAGCATGGAATGGTAGTTTCCATGGTGGATAGGAGACAGGGGAGGAGGGAAAAATCAAGTAGTGCTTCAGAGGTAGGTGAAATCGTACAAAAAATTTTGTGGCCATGTTTTGTGCATGGAATCAGAGAGTAATTAAGAGACAGGTGAGAGTGTGAGACTGACAGGGGCTGAGAGGTTGGCAAGTGTTGGTTGAGTCATGACAGCATCACAGTATATGCAATCAATAGCCTTTCAGTATGCACCGATTTTTTACGAAGGAACATTGTAGGATTCTGTATTATTTGAACTCAAAACCTTGTCCTTATTCAAACAGATTTTCAAGAATCTGATTCCTGTATGTAACAGAATAAAACATGAGATTGAATCAAAAGGTGTGTATCCTATCAATTCAGACAAGTAAAGCTACATTGATTTTTGCTTCTTATAAATAGTAAGAAATTGATAGAATAAAAAATCTTTTCATGTAGCTGATTGTTTAACTCTAAGTGTAAAACTAAATTGCAAGGATAAAATCAAAATTCTTCCGATACGCCTCGTTCCACTGCTTAACATTGCCCACTACATCGCGACCAACTTCCTTTATCAATACTAAGATATTCTTTCACGAATCTATCAAGCGAAACGGGTCAGTTCTGTGACCTCAAGCCAAGCGAAACGGGTCAGTGTAATCGTAATGACTAGAAAAAAATCTACCAAAAGCCATCCCTCCCTCTCAAAAACATAGCAAACATCTATAACTGATCTTCAGTGACGTCCTAAGCCCAGCATTAACTATCTTGACAGTAAAGGTCAGTGTTAATTGTCATTAAGATTAATAACAAACAAAAATCAGGCTAATTTACCAACTGTTTGTGAACTGCGCAGATCCCCTTAACAGCCCTTTAAAAACAAACCCTTTGGCGCTTACCTCTTGTGGGAAAGACTAACCCCAAATTTGATGCAATCTATAACGCGGATAAGGTTTTTGAGGTTCTAAAATTTTCAACACTAAACCGTAAAGAACAAAAAAAATTAGGTGTTCCAGCATAATTATGTTTGTTTTTGCGGACGTTTGCTGCAAAGCAAACATCTCTAGATCAACTTCACCTCACAGATCAGTTTAAGCCCAGTTTTTGCTTTCCTTGTGGCCAGGTAGAAATAAATAAATAAATAAAATTTTAGATTTGCCTCAAGAATTCTACTCGGTTACTCAGTCCACCCTCTTTTATGTAAAGGCTTCCTACCAGTATCACCCGCAATTGACCAATCACAACTTCTTAACAGAAATACCCGCAAATTTGGCGCTTTTCTCTCATAGAATACTCATTTAGATCTCTCTCTCTCTCTCACTCCCAAAGCAAGAACGGTACAGTACATCAATGGCTGGCAAAGATAACACTCAAATTGAACTTAAAAGTAAGATGCTATTTTCAGAATTGGATCATTTCATTGCAAAATCACAAGAAAAGAGTGATCGCAGCTCCAAAGAAATCACTGCTGCCAAGTTCTTAAAGATAGAAGTTGAAGCATCAGTTATTGCAAGAAAAAATCTTGATCAAGAAGTAAGTTTCAAGATTGATAAGGCAAGGCAGTGGCTAAATCAGAAGATGGATGAATTCAAGATAGAAGAAGATTGTCATGGGAATAAAGGGCTCATTGTTTCAGTGCTGATTTCAAGCAACTCCAAGCTGAATTTCTTTCAGTGCTTGCCTTCTGATCCAGAAGCAATGGCCACTGACCACCGTAAGTCTAGTCTTCAAGGAGGCAATAAGCAACTGATTAATGCTGCTCTTGGCATTTCAGAGGATACATTGCCTGGTCCTTGGAATCCCTTACCTGAGGAAATTGAGAGGGTCAAGGCTGCTGCATGTGAAAGCTTGGACAAGGCCAGGTAGCTCCGTATGTACCTCAGAATTTTTAATATGTTTTCTCGTTTGGTTCAGGGTCATATTTGAGATTCTTTTGTTAGTATTTTCTTTTTTCTCTTTTCTTTTTCCAGAGCAGAAATGCACTAACTTGTTCACTTTGATCCAGATGAAACCATGTTCCACATATTCTTCTTGTAAATTTTGCACTCTATACTTGTACTTTAGAAATGTTTATCTTATTTTTTTGCTAGAGTAGAAATGTCTTTCTCACCCTCTCTCTCTTTCTCTCAGAGTCACGAAGAGATTAATTCGTTCATCAACGGCTGACGAAGATAACGCTCAAATTGATCCAGAAATTCAGAATCTTGTTAAGAAACTAGATGAGTGCATTACAAAGTTTGATCAAAAGAGGCAGGTTTTACAGAAAGCAAATGAGTCAGAAACCGAAGCACTCAGGAAAGATCAAAGGGAAACCAGGGAACTAAGGTTGACGCTTGTTCACGAATCTGGTGCTACGAGCAGCAACTTGAAGCTGGAAGCCTGAAGATTGCTAATATGAAGCAATGGCTGAATCAGAAGGCACTGATCAGTGGTGACACTAGTGGAGAACATGATCAGGGGCATGTGTATTTGCTCTTAAATAATAATTGTTTACATTGAATTATATTAAAGATCATAATATTATCAGTCTTTTCATTGTTTCCAGCAATAGTTACTCTGTGCTTATTGTTGATGATGATTGTAATGCTCGAGACACCATTCAGAGATACACGATGCCAGTTGGGACAGAAAAGCATCGTGCAATGGAATTTCAAGAGGCGAAGAATGGGAAAGAAGCTGTTTATCTTCATCTTTCTGGGGCTTCTTTTGATCTTATTGTAGTTTTTTGGATAAAATTGGAATAAAGAAAGCTTCTTCTTTATTTTCTTGATAAATCATGATATAGTGATAGTTTTTAAGAATCACCAACTTGGTGAAATAACTGTCGGTCTGCAAAATCTGAAATTGAAAGTTGACCCATAATGATTCTGAGGCCATTTTGGTCCCGTCTTGAAGCATAAAATTGTAAATTTCGTTTCCTGTATAAAATCTTCAACTGCCAATTAATGTCGTGATATACATTTTATATGATATTTACATCTGTTCCTGATCATATACATATATGTCAGGCGACACAGCTGCTACGTAAGATGGGTGTTAAGAGTCCGATTATAGGTGTCACTTCTGAGTCTGACCAACAAGCTTTCATCGACGCTGGCGCCGACGAATGCCTTAAAATGCCACTGGATACTGCATAGATCACTTCATTCCTTCCTAATTCCAACAAGCGAAGAAGGGCTGATGCATCACAAGCTTGAGAGTATCTGGGTCTCCTTGGTCTGTGTTCGTTTTTTATCCCTTGTCCTTCGATGTAGAGATGAACTTAACCAATATCTGGTTCTATGTTCTAAGGATGATGCTGTTGTGCACCCTTTTCCGTAGTTCTGGCTTAGCTTGCGTAATTGTTGACTAATTTACTTGCTAGCTTGCATTTTTTTTTTTCCTTGGCTACATAAAAGGTGGCGCCGCTAATTCGTGGTGTTAATAAAGGTGGCCGAGCCAAACTTATTTAACTCACACCTAGTTTTTCTTTAAATTCGGCAAAAGTTGAGTTGTCAAATCACTATGCTTTCTACCGCGTTTAACTTGATTAAATAATATTGTTGAAAAATTTACTGTGACAATAAATTGACACGAAAACTGAAAATCTAAACAAAATTATAAATAAAGTATTTTCAAATATTTAAGATTTTTTTATTTTTTTATTTATATTTATAAGTGGAGTCTTGGATAATTTTCATTTAGTAAGTAAGAACAATCTTTATTTCATAAAATATTATTAATAAATATATCTTATTTATTCTTAAAATCTTAAATATTACCTCATATTATTACTCAACTTGATTGAAAATAAATTTTAAACGAGTTTTATATAAAAAATATGTCAATAAGCATGATAAAAATAAAAACCCAAAAAAAAAAAAGAGTAAAATGAAGATTTAGTTTGAATATTTTTTTAATACTAAATGTAGCTCTTTATATTCTATTTGATGGGATAAATTAAAATGAATATATAAACTTTATTTTATATATATTTTAAAAGGAATGATAAAAAAATTTTAAAAATTCATTCAGAATTAAAATTGATAAATTTAAATTATGCATGAACTAATGGACTGTTTTTATGTATTAAATTAATTGGTTCACTACTTGACTGTTTTTATATATCAAATTAATTGATTGACTACTTATTTATTTGTGATGAACATCTAGAAATTATATAGGAGTTAATTAAACGATTAATTTGATTAATTTGAACTAATTAATCATTTTAGCCGCTAATAAAATTATAACAACTATAAACAACTAGTGTTTTAACATATATATATATATATATATATATATATATATATATATATATATATATTGTAAATCTTTTAAGAGAATCAAAACATATATAATATATATAAGATATTTTAAGAATAAAGTAACTTTATACTCATATTTATGCAGTTAAATTTTAGAATTGCCTCAAGAACTCTACTCGGTTATTCAGTCCACCCTCTTCTATATAAAGGCTATCTACCAGTATCACCCGCATGTGACAAATCACAACTTCTTAACAGAAATAACCGCTCTTGCAAACCACAAATTTGGCGCTTCTCTCTCATAGAATACCCTCGCCCTCTCTCTCCCCCAAAGCAAGAACAGTACAGTGCATCAATGGCTAAGAGAGATAACACTCAAATTGAGCTTGAAAGTAAGACGCTATTTTCAGAATTGGATCATTTCATTGCCAAATCACAAGAAAAGAGTGATCGCTGCTCCAAAGAAATCATTGCTGCCAAGTCCTTCAAGATAGAAATTGAAGCGTCAGTTATCACAAGAAACAATCTTGACAAAGAAGTAAGGGCCAAGATTGATAAAGCAAGGCAATGGCTGAATCAGAAGATGGATGAATTCAAGACAAAAGAAGGTAGTTATGAGGATATAGGGCTGATTGCTGCATCGCCGATTTCAAGCAACTCCAAGCTGAATTTCTTTCGGTGCTTGCCTTCTGATCCGGAAGCAATGGCTGCAGACCACCGTAAGTCTAGTCTTCAAGGAGGCACTGAGCAACTGATGAGTACTGCTCTTGGCATTTCGGAGGATACATTGCCTGGTTCTTGGAATCCCTTACCTGAGGAAATTGAGCGGGTCAAGGCTTCTGTACGTGAAGGCTTGGACAAGGCCAGGTAGCTCCTTGTATTTCTTGAATCTTGTAAAAATCTTGTATATTTTTACTAGAGCAATAATTAATTTGCATTAAAAAAAATAACAGGGAACGTTCATTCGTTTATAAAGAAGCCTTGTTCGATTTGGATAAGTTTTTCTCAAAAAGTTCACCATCAAAGACAACTGATATGGTTGACGAAGATTACACTCAAATTGATCCAGAAATCCAGAATCTAGTTAAGAAACTAGATGAGTGCATTGCAAAGATTGATCAAAAGAGGCAGGTTTTAGAAAATGCAATTGATTCAGAAATCGAAGCACTCAAGAAAGATCAATATGAAACCAGGGAACTAAGGTTGAATCTTCTTCACGAATCTGGTGCTACGAGCAGCAACATTGAAGCTGGAAACCGGAAGGTTGCTAATGTGAAGCAATGGCTGAATCAGAAGGCACTGATCAGTGGTGACACTAGTGGAGATCATGATCAGGGGTATGTGTATTTGCTCTTAAACAATGATTGTTTACCTAGAATTATATTAAAGATCATAATATTTTCTGTCTTTTCTATGCTTCCAGCAATAATTACTCTGTGCTTATTGTTCATGATGATCGTAATGCTCGAGACACCATTTGGAGATACGTGATGGTAGTTGGGACAGAAAAGCAGTTTACATTGGAATTTCAAGAGGCGAAGAATGGGAAAGAAGCTGTTTATCTTCATCTTGCTGGGGCTTCTTTTGATCTCATTATTATGGACGATCAAATGCCCATCATGACTGGAATTCAGGTATGTGTCTTTTGACCAGCTTCAACTTATTAATGTTTTTTGTGTCTTTTGACCAGCTTCAACTTATTAATGTTTTTTGTGTCTTTTGACCAGCTTCAACTTATTAATGTTTTTCAAAACCTCAACCCCAATATTGTAGGCTATTGATAAAATTGGAATGAAGAAATTTTCTTGATAACTCATGATATAGTGATAGTTTTTAAGAGCCACTAACTTGGTAGAGTGGAAAGTAAACAACTGTTAAGTCTGCAAAATCTGATCTTGATCTTGATGAAATACATATGAACTCAATGAAATCGAAAGTTAATTCATCATGATTCTGAGGCCATTTTTGTCTAGTCTTGAAGCATGAAATTGTAAATTTCGTTTCCTGTATAAAAACTTCAACTGCCAATTAATGTCGTGATATACATTTTATATGATATTTACATCTGTTCCTGATCATATACATATATGTCAGGCAACACAGCTGCTACGCAAGATGGGTGTTAAGAGTCAGATTATAGGTTTCGCTTCTGAGTCTGTCCAACAAGCTTTTATCGATGCTGGCGCCGACGAATGCCTTAAAATGCCACTGGATACTGAATAGATCACTGCATTCCCTAATTCCAACAAGCAAAGAAGGGCTGATGCATCACAAGCTTGAGAGTATCTGAGTCTCCTTGATCTGTGTTCCTTTTTCTTTTTTTTTTCCTTTGTCCTTTGATGTAGAGATGAACTCCATGGATAAAGTTTCTGACTACCTTGTGATTCTAAAAGAGAAAATAGTTGTAACAACTAATAATTGCTGTGCTTCAAGATGAATATGGAAGTGTTGCTTGCAAAAGCATAGTAAATGGAATGGAGTGGTAGAAATTGTTAGAACTTGTTTTCACGTTTTTGTTGTGATGTTGATCATTCAGCTTTGTAATTGGTCATTGCATGCTTAGAGATTTATGCATTGTGATCATTCAGCTTCTTAATTGGTCATTGCATGTTTAATTTTTTTTTTTACTGAAATTAAATTAAATTAGTCCCACATTTGTTCTATGCTCTGCAAAACTTAACCATGGGTTATGCCAATATTTGGTTCTATGTATCAAGGATGATTGTGTCGTGTGCTCTGCTTCTTTCCATGTATATTATCATAGTTCTGGCTTAAAAGGTGGTTTATCTGTTTTGCTATTAAATTATTAATTCATGCTGACTAATTTACTTTGCTAGCATGCATATTCTCTTTTCTTTGGCTACTTAAAAGGTGATGTTTTAATAAAATAAAAAAAACTAAACTAGATCATCTATCACTCGGTTTATTTTGAAATCTAGCCTCTTCTAAAAACCTAGCCAACAAATCATCATTTTAATTTATCTGGCTCAACTTGATTAAATAACATTGCCAAAAAATTTCTCTGTTCTTCCTCCTTGGTGTTTGGTTTTGGCAAAAATGACATTATTGACTTGTGAGTCCATGGTGTTTATATGTAGCCAAAGAAGAGAACTAACCTAGTTCATTCTTCATTAGACAAGAAAAAAACAAAATTTACAAATCACAAAACGCGATTTCAACTGTAAAAACATAACAGTACCCAAGTTATGCAGTCCACCCTCTTTTATTTAACGTTTTCTACTGAGCATCACCAGCATGCGAGGTGGAATGCTGTGATTTAACTTCAAGAGAAGTCTTCCGATCCTCAAAAGATCAGCGGGTTTCCGAGGATTTCGACGCTGACCCAAATATACAGTTCCTTTTCAGCATTTTCCTTCCCTGTCTTCTTTCAATATTTTGTACCTCTCGAGGAATTGCTTCCGCAATGGCTCTCAGTGATGATTGCCAGCTCCTTTATGGAAATTTTCTTGGTTTCATAGTATAGCTGCAGAAACACATCCATTCCACTTCCATAATAAAACTGAAAGGAATATAAGAAAGAGTGTGGTGAGAGGACATAGGGAAATGAGGCTTTTAGAAATTTTACCTTCTCTGTTATGAGCTTTGTTGGTTTCACAATTGAGTTGCCTCTTCACATAAAATGCTTATTTATGTTCTTCAGCTTCATTGATGATCTGTTGTCCACAAGATTGAGGCATTTTTCCTGCATCAAATGTAAAATATTTATCCACATACAAGCATAAGGAGAATATATGTCCATAATCTACAACTTCTTAACAGAAATAACCGCTTTTGTAAGCCACAAATTTGGTGCTTCTCTCTCATAGAATACTCTTTCAGCCCTCTCTCTCACTCCCAAAGCAAGAACAATGGCTCACAAAGATAACACTCAAATTGATCTTGAAAGTACGATGCTATTTTCAGAATTCGATCATTTCATTGCAAAATCACAAGAAAAGAGTGATGGCGGCTCGAAAGAAATCATCGCTGCCAAGTCCTTTAAGGTAGAAATTGAAGCATCAATTATTGCGAGAAAAAATCTTGATCAAGAAGTAAGGGCTGTTGAAGTAAACTCAATCCAGAAGGTCAAGGAAGGCAGCCACCAGCTGTCACTGCCCAGCCACCAACCGACCAGCCGCCAGCCACCGGCCGCCAGCCGCTTTCACACCGTCGGCCACAACAGCCTTCATACTTGAAGGTTGAATTTTCTTGTTTTGATTTCATGTATAAATAGATAGCTAAGCTTATGTAATTAAGTGTGGAGAGATTGAGAGAAACACTAGAGAGAAAGAGAGAAAGAGAGAGGGGTTGTTGTAAGCTTTTGTTTATGTTATTGTAAGCTTTGTTCTTGAAATAAAAGAGTGTGTTTTATCCTCTCCGAGTGTTTCAAAGCCACCACAAGTGGTTTCTCCCACCAACAATTGGTATCAGAGCCCCGTTCGTCAGAAAACAGAGGTATTTTTGGGAAATATCCGAATTTTCAAAGTTGTCAAAAACAAGTTTTGATCATTCCAAAGTGTAGAGCTCATCAATACGAACTCAACGGTGCAAAAATCAGATCAATCGGAGCATGGGGTGGACCACACTCTCCGTCTGAAATTTCAGCCCTGTAGCTCACATGCCCCGAGGAAGAAGACGAGTAAGCCACACGCGCGCCATATATTGAGCCGTGCCGAGCCAAGCCTCAAGCCGAGCCGCGGGCCGAGCCACAAGCCATATTTCGAATCCGAGCCGAGCTCCAAGCCATATTCCGAAGCCAAGCCAAGCTCCGAGCCATATTCTAAAGTCAAAGTCAAAAAGAATATTCCTTGGAATATTCCCGGTTCAACCCAGCAAACCACCCGAATTGGTTTTTGGACCGGTTCACCTCATTTTTGACCCGTTTTCTACAAAGTCAGACCGGTTCCCTACTATTTGGACCATTCCGGATCCATCTACGGTGTCGGTTTTGCCAAATTCAACTCCCAAAA